CTTTTTTCTTTTTGCTTATGTGGTGCTGAGGAATGGAACCCAGGGCCTCAGGCATGCAAGGCAAGCGCTCTACCACTGAGCCACCTTCCCAGCCCCTGTCTCAGTTATTTTCAAGGGAACTTCCTTTGACCACGATGCCAATCACTTACTTTTCTAATGTTCCTAAATTATGTGGTCACCATCTAGCCATTATTTTCCTATGTAGGGACATGAAAAATAGAATCAATCACACTAGAGTTGTAGGAAAACTGTTAGCAATCTAAGGATACTACTGAGGCCAGTGTAAGGACTACGGTTTTCTTAATGGCAATAGCCATGCAGCCTGACAATGCTGGCCACCTGAATAAATTCCAAGAAAGCAAACATGGTGTCTGGCTTGATCACCATATTCTAACTTGCTCCAGCAAGCAAATATGCAGTAAGTTTTGACTCAAACAAAATATGTCGTTGATTCCCAAAGCCTCCTCAAAGTCTGTGTTAGATTTCTTATACTGCTACTTTTAGTATAAGTTTTCCTAAGCATGGAAAAGAACCAAAAAAATGACACCGGAATCAAGATGCATTATATACATAAATTTCTTTGTCAAATGGCAAAAATTCAATACATAAACTAAAAACTAAGAAAAGTGAGAAAAGAGGTGGGTAAGAATGTTAAAAGGGGTTACATTGGTAAAGAGATATTGTATTCATAAATGCTTTTGTTAAATGGTAAATCCTTTGTATAACTACTTAAAGAAAATAAAAATATTTAAAAAGCAACAGTGAACAGTTTAAAAAAAAAAAGTCGGGTGCTAGTGGCTCACGCCTGTATTCTTGGCTACTCATGGCTGAGATCTGAGGATGGTGGTTCTTTCCTGCCAGCCCAGGCAGGAAAGTCTGGAAGACTCGTCTCCAATTACCACCAGAAAAGTAGAAGTGGCACTGTACCTCTAGTGGTAAAGTACTAGTGGAGCAAAAGAGCTCAGGGATAGCACCCAGCCGTGGAGTTCAAGCCCCATGATCAACAAAACAAAAAAGACACTAGGCAGTTAGCTGCTGCATGCCTCTAATCCCTCTACTTGAAAGGCTGAGGCAGGAGTATTGTGAATTCTAGACCAATCTTGGCCATATTGTAGACCCTATCAAAAACAATACAAAACAACCACCAAGCCTGGGAATGTGGCTTAAGTGGTAGAGCGCTTGCCTAGCATGCATGAGACTCTGGGTTCAATTCCTCAGTAATACATAAACAGAAAAAGGCAGGAGTGGTGCTGTGCCTCAAGTGGTAGAGTGCTAGCCTGGAGCAAAAGAAGCTGAGGGACAGGGCCCAAGCCCTGAGTTAAAGCCCCAGCACTGACAAAGAAAACAAAAAAAAAAACCCAACAACAACAAAAAACACCACCAAGATCTTAAGTTCAGGTAAATGGGCTGTTTTTCATTAGCAGGAAGAAAAAGACTAGGCTCTGTTGGTGAGAAATTGAACCTGTTAAATGGCATAACTTTTGTTTCAGCTACAGGTTAAACAAGTTATGTCACTCTAGATAGTTTTGTATTTGTTTGAAAAGTACAGCAGCCCCTCCTACTGGACCTTGAACTGACAAGAGTCACTTAACAGCTTTACAGAGTCAGTAAGGGGGGAAAAACCCCAAACAACCTTGTACATTCACCATTTATTTGAGCATTCAAAATGACTAGAATATTTTTCATGATCTTCCTTTTGTTTGTGAGTCTGGGAGAAGCCAAGAAGTCATTTCTCAGTTTTCTGGATATAAAGATGGAGATACTTTTTTTTGAAAAGACTGAAGAAACAGTCATCATCAGATCAAATTATAAAGATAAACAACCTAACTCCAGCTACCTTTTTGTGAAATTACAAGACCCCAAAGTGCTCCAAGTGGTGAATGTGACCAAGATGACATCGGATGTTACAAACTTTACCATAAACCTACTGATACATCAAGAAGGAGAGACAAATCTGACCCTTCAACTCTGGGACTCTGAAGGTAGGCAAAAAAGACTAATTGAAGAAATAAAGAATGTCAGAGTCAAAGTGCAGAAACTGAGCAAAGAGAGATCTGTCCAGGCTCCGGTGCATGTTAATAGAAATATCCTAATGCTGATTCTACCCATGATCCTGTTAAATAAGTGCGTTTTTGGTTGCAAGATTGAATTCCAGGTGCTTCAGTCAGTATGGAGGAGACCTTTACCAGTAATTATTGGGGCAGTTACACAGTTTTTTCTTATGCCATTTTGTGGCTTTCTTTTGTCTCAGATTTTGGCATTGCCTGAGGCACAAGCTTTTGGGTTTATTATGACCTGTACATGCCCAGGAGGGGGTGGTGGTTATCTCTTTGCTCTGCTTCTAGAGGGAGATGTCACTGTGGCCATTTTGATGACTTGCACATCAACATCAATGGCCCTGATAATGATGCCTATCAATTCTTATATATACAGTAGGCTTTTAGGTTTATCGGGTATATTTCATATTCCTGTCTTCAAAATTGTGTCAACACTTCTGTTCATACTTATACCAGTATCGGTGGGAATAATCATCAAGAGGAGGGCACCTGCAAAAGCAAATCTTTTAGAAAGAATCATCCGACCACTGAGTTTTCTTTTAATGTTGATAGGGATTTGCTTGACTTTCCAGATGGGATCTGTGCTGCTAAAATCAGCTCACCTAGAAGTGCTTCTTTTGGGTCTTTTAGTTCCTGCCTTAGGCTTGTTGCTTGGGTATTCCTTCTCTAACCTGTGCATGCTGCCCCTTCCTGTCTGTAAGACTGTTGCCTTTGAAAGTGGAATGCAAAATAGTTTCCTAGCCCTTGCCATTATACAGTTCTCTTTTTCACAGCCCGAGGCAAACTTTGCTTCTGTGGCTCCTTTTACTATAGCCATGTGTTCTGGCTGTGAAATGTTACTCATCCTTCTGATCTACAGGGCTAAGAAAAGAGGTATCTTTGTCATAGAAAATCAAAATTTTCCCTCAGTCTAAAATTTAAAGCACAGTTACTTGAATCCCTCTCTAGATGAGGTATCGTGGAAGATGACATTGAGTAAAATGCATTGTACTCAAAAACTGACATATTGAATTGAATCCCCTTTGTAAATCACTTACAGATAATAACATTTAAAAATTAAAATATTAAATAATACGTGATCTCAAAGCCACTTACGATCTGGTTAAAATTTTCACATGAGGGTAGATCATCCATGCTAAGCACCCAGAGTAAAATGAGTTCAGAAGGAGATACCTTTTAACTATATTAATTGGAGAACATTTTATAGAGTAGGATGTAAATAGGATACTTGATCATGATCTGTTAAATGAGAAAACACGTAAAAATAGGTAGTAATTTTAACATATGTTAAGTATTTAAGGAAGAGTTGTTTGACAAATAATCACTCAGTGAATGAATAAAGAAATTCCTATTTAGCACTCTCATTAGTTGGTCAGAAGCATTATGTCTTAACCTACATGAAGTACCTCTGCTTTCATAGCTATACACACATCTTGCTGTCTATTCCCCACCCCCCATTACCCTGGAGCAGTTCTCTCTTCTTTTTATTTTAGTAACTGAATTACACCCCAAATTTCCTATAATACTGTCTTTCCCAGCCTCCTCCTCCTCCTCAATTCTGTCACTTTTGTTCCCTTGTATTGCTTCTTTCCTAGCCTTTCCAATTGGTGCTTAGCCTCTGTCGACCTTTCCAATCCCTGTCAAATTAATCAAGAAATCTAATTTTTGTCTTATCTGTCTTTCCAGGAAGACTTTTTGTTTTCTATTCCTTAGTGGGACACGTTCATTCTCTTCTCTCTGACCTTAATCAAGGTATCTAGTTTTCTACTTTAGCCTCCAACTTTTTTTTTTTTTTTTTAATACACAGTCTTCCTCTGAGTCTGGCCTCTGAGGTCCCGCCCCCACCTCTCAAGTGTTGGTGTTACAGGGGTGTGTCACTGGCCTAGCTGCTCTTATTTCTTTTTAACAAGACCTTGCTCCAACCAAGCAGATGATTTAGGATCTCACAAATATGCCTTTGTTTGTGTAAACCGACCTGTCTTGTTTTACAGCTATCTCTCTTCCTGTTTTATTCTCATTTGCTGTAAATCCTTGAGCATGAGAATTGCATTCTCTGCAAGATCTACCACAACATTTCTTCTGTGCTATGTGCTTATTCAAATAGATCTTGAAGCACTAACTAGGACCAAAATGAAGATATTTATATCACTATTTGGGTAGGGATTGTGGCTCAATGATAGAGTATTTGCCTGGCATACTTGAAGCTGGGGATTCAATCCTCAACACTGAAAAAAATAAATAGCCTGACATTTTCATGGGAAACTTTTAATATCCAAGGCCAGTCTATTCTCCACAGAAAATGTAGCTCTCAAGAATAGGAAATATCAGGCCAGCTGTATTCTCAACTATTTGGGAGGTAGAAGGATCATGGTCTAAGTCTGGCCTTAAACTCAAGGCTTTGTGCCCTCACTTGGCTTTTTTCACTCAAGGCTGGGCTGGAACTTGAACCACAGCTCCACTGCTAGCTTTTTGCTGGTTAAGTGGTGAGCCTTCCAAACTTTTTTCCTGGGATGGAACTTTGAACTGCAAACCTCAGATCTCAGCCTTCTGAGTAGCTAAGGTTTAATATCATTACCAACTGTAAGCCTGATTCTAGCATAAAACTAGCATCTCATTTGATGTCATAGGACCTGATTTCAGGGACAGCATGTCTGGGTAAAATGAAGAAGCTTAAAAACAGTGGCATGAGCGACCAGCACCTGGCCAGAATAACTTTTAACATGTTCTAGACTCTATTGTAACTCTTTTGGTTCTCTCTCTCTCTCTCTCTCTCTCTCTCTCTCTCTCTCTCTTTTTCTTTGTGTTAGTATATGGGTTTGAACTCAAGGAGTGAGTGTTGTCCTTTAGATTTTTTCCTTCAAGGCTGGTGCTCTACCACTTGAGTCACAGCCCCACTTCAGTCATTTTTTAGTAGTTAATTGGAGATAAGAGTTTCTTGGACTTTGTCTGCCTGGTCTGGCTTAGAAGCATGATCCTCAGATCTCAGCCTCCTGAGTAGCTAGGATTATAGGAGTGAGCCATCAAGTGCTGGGCTGGTATCTGTTCTTATACCTGGACTTCTCACTAGGGGCATGTAAGAAGCCTTAATCAATATTTGCAACTCTAACTTATGTCATTAAAACACAGAGTCTTTGGAGATAATATGTACGCTTCATCTTTGAACAGGTGCATATTGTATATGTAAGCTTGAATATTTTAAATCTTATTTAATAGTTAACTTTTAAAGGACTTTGACAGACTTCAAAGATTTGAGCATGAGTTTAGGAGTGGAGTGGTTGCTGTTTTGCTTTGTTACTTCTCAGAATTATCCTCATTTTGAGCTGAGAACTCTCAGCAAGTTGAACACTATGGTAAACTGAGTACATCTGTTTGCAATGGCTGCAATGAAATTTGAACACCAGACACTATGTTCATTCCCCACTTCACTCTAAAGAGCACTTAGAAGCAGAGTCTTCGCTTTGGACTGAAAAAAAAATAGAATTACTTGAGAATAATTGTTAAGTAGCAGCCTCCGCTTCTTAAAAAAATAATCAATAAATAAACTAGACTTTTGATATAGGAAGCTTACAATGGTTTTATTTTAATTTTATTTTTAATTAAAGGAGTAAAATATGTGAGACCTTTCCTTATTTGAAATCACTTAAACTGATTTTAGCAGTTTGCCAAATCAGTGGAACATTTTCTCTTATAAAAAGTTCAAAGATGTCTCTTAAAATGTTTCTGTAAATGTCTGGAAATTTTTACTTGGTTGCAAATCAATATTGTCAAGACATTAATTTTATTGTGATTGACAATGAAGAATGAAAAAACTAGTTCCTGGGGCTGGGAAGGTGGCTCAGTGATAGAGTGCTTGCCTTGCATGCATGAGGCCCTGGGTTCCATTCCTTAGCAGCACATATACAGAAAAAAATGGAAGTGGTACTGTGGCTCACGTGGTAGAGGGCTAGCCTTGAGCTGAAGAGCTGAGGGCCAGAGCCCAGGCCCAGAGCTAAGGTCTCATGACTGACCCCCCCAAAAAAAATCAGTTCCTGCGGGTTTTTTTTTTTCTTGTCGGTCATGGGGCTTGAACTCTGGACCTGAGCACTGTCCCTCAGCTCTTCAGCTCAAGGCTAGCGCTCTACTACATAAGCCACAGCGCCACTTCTAATTTTCTGAATGGTTTATTGGTGATAAGAGTCTCATGGACTTTCCTGCCAGGCTGGCTTTGAACCACAATCCTCAGATCTCAGCCTCCTGAGTAGCTAGGGTTACAGGTGTGAGCCACAGGCATCCAGCTTACTGAGACTTTTTAAAAATATAAAATGAAGAAACCAAAAGTATCATTTGATAAGGGAATGCTTCCAAATCATTCTTGAGTCATCATTCTTCAGAAGAAAAAGAATTGAATCCACGGTTCACAGCAATCCTTTTTTATTGTTGTTTTGGGGCTTTCATGTTTTGTTTTGTTGTTGTTGTTTGTGCCATACCAGGGCTTAAACTTAAGGTCTCAAGGCTTTCTTGCTTATGGCAGGAGTTTTGCCATTTGAGCCACGCATACAGCCCAAGTTTTGCTGGTTATTTTGGAAATCAAATTTCATAGACTTTTCTACTCTGTCTGTATTCAAACTGAGATCCTTTGTTTCTCAGCCTCTTGAGTAATTAGGATTATCTGAGTATGACATGCAAACCCAGCACCATTCATGTTTGGAATATGTTCTACATTGGCAATAACTTTTTGTCTCCTGATTAAACTGTGGAAACAACCACTTAAAAGCAAAGACTCAACCTACTTTCTGATCCTGTTGTGGCTAGGACAACTGTGCAATGCTTTTGGCATTGGTAGAGAAGGAATTATTTTAAGGACAATAGACTCAATGGGATGCAATCTGTTGCAGCCTGTGTCTTTCCTGCCTGTGTACTTTGGAGTCAGGGTATGCCACTCTCGGCTCCGGTTATGTGATCTGGGACAAACCACTTAACATCATCTCGCTAGGTTATCATTTCTTCATTTATATAAAGAGAATCACACCTATATGGAACTGTTGCAACGTTTCAGTTAAACACTGCAAATAAAAATACAGCAATTGTCTGGTGTGAAGGTGGTGTGAAGGTGGTAATCCCAGCACTTTGGAGAGAAAGGAGGAAGATCAGGAGTTTCAACCCAGCCTGAGCTACGTAGTGGGATTTTGTCTCAAAAAAAACCCAAACAACAACAACAAAAAACACCCCAAAAAACAAAAAACCAGTATTGGGGATCCTGCTTAATGGTCAGGTGCTTGCCTCGCACATCCAAGTACAACTGCCCGAAGTACATTTCAGTCTTCAATAAATGGCATCTAAATGAATTATTGAGAATAGACAGTAGTTTCTGGTAACCAGTAATTTGTTTAAATCTATATTTACCTAGAATAGGATTAGCAACTAAGAGCTGCTCAACTGGAACCACAGCTCCAATGTTATGTTCTGTCAAAGACAAGGACAGAAATAAGAGAATAGAAGGAAAAAAGGGAACTGGAAAACATGAACGGATGGAAGACAAAAGAAGTCGTCAGCAAAAGAAACAAGGTGATTCTTAAAGAAGAAAAGGCCAGCGGGAGAAAGGAAATTAGAACTAGAGAAGGTGTCATGCACCAGGTCTGGCCAAGAAAAGGAGCCAGGCTGCAATGCACGCCCCGAGGCGGAACTCCAGCGAAGGGGGCGTGGCCATGTCAATAGAGCCACGCCCCATAGCCACGCCCCTCGAGGGAAGACCTTTGTGGAGGCGGGACTTCCTGTCCCGGCGTCCCGTTACCTCCGGAAGAGCGAATCTTCACTTACCGCCGGCAACTGACCGAGCGAGCGAGCGAGCAGGATCGAACCCTCGAACCCGAGGTGAGAGCCATTTTCCTCCCTCATTCCGGCGGCCCTCGGGCGCGCAGGTTGGGCGCTGAGGCCTGGGCGGCGCGGGTGGGCGCGGTGGGCTGCGCAAGGCCAGAGCCGAGGCCGGGGCACGGTTGGGTGCCCTCTCCCTGCCCTGCGACTCCAGAAACCAGCGGTTTCACGCACCAGCCTGCAGCCTCCTGCGGCGCTCTCTGTGGAATTGCCCCGTCTGCCTTCACCGGGGTCGGAGAGGTCGGGCTGAGCCCTGGGTCCGCGCCGTCGGGCGGGTGAGGACTGCCGCGGCCCCGCGGCCCCCATCCGAAGGGAGACCGGCTGGACAAGTCAGCGATACTTACCGTTGGGGAGAAGTGCGGGTGAAAAGGATATGGCCGCAGTTAAAGAGAGAAAACAAAATGTCCCGAAATAAAAGCATTGATTGAGCCATTTAAGAGCTATGCTAGACAGGAAAAGGACCAGGTCCCGGAGTAAGTTTAGGAAAACCACCAGCAGCAAAGCTAAGCACTAGTTGAAAAACAATGCCCCCGGGGCCTAGAGTATCTTTAAACAGTCTTTTTGTTGGTTTCACACCTTGGGGTGGGGGTGGGGATGCGGGGAAGCTGATTAGTTTTCTTAATCCTTTTTTCTCTTCTAGGCCTGTCATACTTGTAACAGCTAAGAATTTCCCTTTGTTTTTGTTTAATATCCTCCCACTGGTTGAGAAGATAAAGCATTCACACAAATGACTAAACCGTAAGGAAGGCATTACTGAGTGTCATAAAAATGATAATGTTCTTCCAGGCTGAAGCTCCAGGAGTCATTCACATTCAGACTCCATTGCTACCTATTTAAATTGCTTACATAATTATATCAGCAGGAATACCTGTTTCCAAGCTTGGAATCAATATATGTTCAGTTGTCTAATTGACGCTTTATTTTGATTTCACAGAACTACCTGCTCTTGATCTTCTTCTACCCAAACTTTACCCCTTGGTTCCTCCCTTTTTCAGGTCATTATCCTTGCCAGTGCCAAAGTGAGGGATGTGGGCATCAACGAACTCATTCTCTTGCCTCAAGTCTGATTTGCTACCAAGTTTCCCTACTTTACTCCCTAATATTCTCAATTTCTCTGCCTAAACTTCCCCCCTCCTCACCCCCTAGGTTTAAGTCAACCATTGGGTCTCTGTGAACTTCTGCATACCAAATCTAAATTTTCTAATTTTTGCTCTTCCATTCTATAGCCACAATAAAATGACTCCCCATTGTTCTCAAATCAAAGTCTTACCTCTAGGGCTTAGGAACACACTTGCCTAGCAAGAAGGCCCTCAGGCCTTTAAAATATTGGCCTCAGTATCTCCTCTAGTCTTATCCTTTTCCATTTCTCATTCTCTGAGGTGTCCTGCTTGGGTCTTTTAAGTTCCTCTTTTTCTTTATTTCTGCAATTTGGTTAGTGACTTTTTACTTATTCTTTGCAATGTAATTTAACCATAACCTCAGAGAAACATCCAGTACCTAGGTCTGGTCATAGCTCTGGTCACAATGCTTCTCACTGCTTTTTAGCCTTTACTACATTTATAATTTTTTTTATATAAACAGTGTTTTTTTTTTGGTGTGTTTCCTTTTTTTTTCTTTTCTTTTTCTTTTTTTTAAACTAATTCAGTTTTCCACATGGTAGTGCTGTGTCTAGCATATAATAAGTATCAGCAAATACTTGTTGAGTGATAAACAGCTTCTGGCTAGAAGGTCTCTAGAAATGGAGAGCTTCTGAAATGGGCCTTGATGAAGTAGTAGGAGTTTGTATTGTACTCTCAGAAAGTAGTGAGTAGGTAGCTTAAGCAAAGCATCTAGTAAAATGCAAACACAATCTAAGAACACTACTTGAGAGTGAAAAAGAGTAGAAGCAGAAATGGAAAAAGTTTGGAAACTTCTGGAAGAGCACTGAAGATTTATGAAGAGTAGCCTCCTGTTAAAATTTGTTTAAATGCTTATTTCAAGAAAAGAAAGTGCCCAGCATGCTGGTACACACTTGTAATCCAAGCACTTGGTTAGGTAGGAGGATCCCAAGTTTCACACTAGACTAAACAGTTTAAAGAAAACAACAATAATAATAACAAAAACTACCAAGGAGAAAGAAAAGCCCCAGCAGAAATTCACTTTATTCATCCTTTGCCCTCTCCCCTGATCTTGTGAGCAATAAGATCAGTATTTCTTAATATTCTATAAGACAAAAATGTCAGTTATTGGAAGTGTATAGGATAAAGAATTAGGTTGCTTTATGAAAAATGTCAGTTTTCAGAGCATGACAGCTTCATTTGTTTCCCTGTGCTGGGCACAGACTGGAGTGCGGTCAAACCAGCAGTGAGGCTTCAGAAATTAGTGGAAAGTTCTGACGGGACAGAGGAAGAGCACAAAACTATGTTGTATTTTTCCCCTCTCTGAAATTCAGGAAGTAAATTTCATCTTTGCTTTCTTACTCTGTTTTTATACTTCAAATTTTTTTCCTCAGAATATTATATAGAGGGATAAATGGACTTGAAAATCAGAATTTTAAAATTTGGACTGTCATCTGTTTATACATTATGTACATTATTTCTTTCAGTCTGAAATTTTTCATCTTTACAAATTTACTAAAAAAAAATCACATGTACTAAGCATTAAATAATTTGTACATGCTCTTTTGCCCTTTTTGAATGGAAGTTTCCTTTATTTTAAAATGTCCAGGGTTCTTTCTCCTATCTACACTTTGTTCTCCACTCAGCAATACACCTATATTTAAAATACTACTTGTCTTGGTATGGACATCTTGGGTGACATTTTTATAGAATTTTTCTCAGAATGTTTTATAATAGAAGTAAGGTATTAGGTGCAAAATGATTTTTTACTAGGTCACCAAGAAAATCAGGAGTACAGGGAAGACTTGAACTCTGTATTAGGGAAAGGATAATTCCTGGAGTAAAAGTCTGTTGATAATTGAGATGCTTTTGTGAACTGACTATTCTGTAATAAACATTTTGATGAATCTGTAAATACCTTGTCCTTAAAAATATGAAATAGATTCAGAAGATGGCTGATCCTTGGCAAGAATGCATGGACTTTGCAGTAACCCTGGCAAGACAAGCTGGAGAGGTATGAACTAAAATTTCCTTGGCTATAATGTGGTAGGTGTAGATAGTGCTATTTTAAATACAGTGAAAGTCCCTTTGTTTTTATTTATTTTATTATCATTTTGATACTGGGGAGTAGATCCTAGTGCCTCACATATGCTAGGCAACCACTTTTATAACTGAACTGTACACCCAAGCTCCTTATTTCAACTTTATATTAAACTCTAATGACAGCTATGGATCTAAAATAGAATATAGGATTATATAATTTGTGCCCAGAAGATCATAAGCACTAAATGTCTTATTATAGGGAGAGTTTTGCAAGAAAATTTTAAGCATATCATATAAGACAGATTGAATATTTTAAGCCATTTGTATTATTCTTTTTGTTTGATTTAAAATTACTTATGCCTTTTCTATTTGTTTACCTCCTTCCCCTAACCCCCCAAAAATTATCTTTTTAGGTGATTTGTGAAGCTCTAAAACATGAAATGAATGTTATGATTAAAAGTTCTCCAGCTGATTTGGTAACTGCTACGGATCAAAAAGTTGAAAAAATGCTTCTGTCTTCTATAAAGGAAAAATACCCATCTCATAGGTATTTTTTATATCCATTTCCAGGGATAAGATGAACTCTAGTTTAGGTCAGTGTATTAGGCACCAAACCTATACAATTTGAATTTATTGTGAGCGTATTAGAAAGCTCAGATCAAGACCATGCGAGGGAAGAACTCAAACCTATTGGAGGATGGCAAAGTACAGGCTAATCTCTACAAAGTTGGCACGATGCTATCTCAGAACAAAGTACAAAAGAGCTCGAGGTATGGCTCATGTAGTCAGAAAACTTGACTACCTTGTAAGAGGCCTGAGTTCAATCCTCAATAATATTTTCAAAAATTAAGTTAAAAAAGACATGGCTGTAGTGGTAAAGTACTAGCTGAGAAAACTTCAAGCCCTAGTACCATTAAAAAAAAAAAAAAAAAGGAATGTTTGGTAGACATAATTAGAAAACTCAGTTATATTCTGTTTTGCTGCTGTCTTTATATGGTAAAGAAGTAGTAGCTTTAGTAAATCTGACAGAAAATCTTAAATATTATGCTCTCATAGGCACAGAAATTTAGCAGAAACATTGTCATCAGCAGGGCTTGGTTGGACATATCTCTAATTCCAGCATTTAGATTTAGGAGATAGAGGCAGGAAAATAGGAAGGTTAATTCAGACCTGGGTTACACAGCTAGACCAAAAAAAAAAAAATAGAAAAGTATTGTTATTGTATTTAAAAGTCTTTTCTCTGTCATTCAGTACTTTCTAGTCAGCCATTGGCCATTGCCAGTCTTTTAGTTATTGAGAAGTAAAAATATTTAAAACTATGGCTAGATAAAAAGCTAAAAAGACATAACTAAGAGAAAAAGATGGAAAATAAAACCACAAAAAATGATAATTAGGATGGTTCAGTGGTGAATAATGTAAAATACAAAATAAGAATAGGAAAATAGAAAAGCCAGTAAGTTCAGATACCATATACACAGCAATTTTGTTGTAGGTGATTTGCATTTCCATTACTTATTTAATATTCTCTGTATTGGTTATCTATTACTGCAAAGCAGATTTCTCCTAAAAGCTTAGAGCTCTGTCAACAAACTTTTATTACCTCAGTTTTACTGGAGTTAGGAATATGAGGTTTTAGCCAAAGTATTGTTCAGGGCTTCAGTAATGTCAAGGCTCAACTAGAGCTGAAGGATTCATTCATTTCTGTGATGGTTGGCAGACTTCAGTTGCTTGTGGGTTGTTTGCTGGTAGTCTCCCCAAGCTCCTGAGTCAGGAAGGAAGAGGCAGTGTCAACATGGAAAACACCAGGCCAGTTGGTGAACTGGTCTCTAAAACCATACACTGTCAAAGCCTCTTTATTTTGTTGGTTAGAAACAAGACAATTTGCTGAGCTCACCAGGGTCCATGAGGGACTACATCTTGAAAGGAAGAATATTAGAAAATTTGTGGTCTTACCTAGAATTATATTTTCTTGATTATTTCTCTTATAACCAATGCCCTTTTCAGATGCATCTGGATGGGCCTGTGGAGAGCTCTGCTCAGGGAAGTATAAGTTTAGACAAAATTGTGTATATGTGTGTGTCATTACTTAATGCTCCTGTTGCCATTTTGAATTTTGAATTCTGTTACGTTATTCATATCTGTGCTGTGGGGAAAATAAAGCTGTTTTTAATCAGTTTTTGCAGGAAGCAGCAACAAAAATTGTAGACTTTGTCTATGTTTTATAGGAAAGTATAAGGAAGTATTGTACCTTGAAAATTGTCAGAAGCAATTTAGAGATTTTGTGTTTCTTTTAGTTTCATTGGTGAAGAATCTGTGGCAGTTGGGGAAAAAAGTGTCTTAACCGACAACCCCACTTGGATCATTGACCCAATTGATGGCACAACTAACTTTGTACACAGGTATGCTTTTAGATGTTTGACAGAATTACTGCTTGTGTATCAACTGGATGGGCCTTTGGAGAGCTCTGCTCAGGGAAGTTTAGACAATAGTGTGCTTTTGATGCTTCTTTATTCTAAGAAAATGTACATAAAACATAATAGAATTAAATATGTTATGCAGATCTTTGATCAGGTATGGAAGAAAGATGAGAGAGAATACTGTTATGGACTTGACCTAAGACACAAAGTTCATCACATAAAAATGTAAAAGAGCAGCATTAATGCTTTGAGATTAGTAAATTAAAATATCACTATTACAGTGTTGTCTATAGAACGAACTCAGTACAAGAAAGAAAACTGGTAGGAAGGACTTGGGTTTTAGGTTCTACAGAATTGAGTCTTCTGGGGCTTTTTATTGGCTGTTGGACTTTGAACAATTAGTTAATCTTTATAAAGGGCTATTTTAATAGCACCTGCCCCATAAAATAGTTTCTTATCGGACTCCCTGACTAGTATATTTGTGTGAGAACTTAGATAGTGCCTACCACAGGGTAAGTTTATTATAACTCAATATTTTCACTAGATGAAAGCCTGGTGGAATTGCCAGGGAGAGTTAAAAATGCATGCCTAGTTTTGTGGGATTGTTTAGAAATGTTAATTTAAAGTCATCATGTGCTTACCCTTTCTGGACTACATTTATATTTACTGTGGCCTGTAAAGCTAAGGTATACAATCTTTAACCCACAAAATGTGTCTTAAATGTGGAAAGCTATTAGTGATCTGTTGAAACATAGTTATGTGTAGCTTGATGCTGTTTTTTTGCTAAATGAAAACCCAATGTTAAATATTACAAAGTTTTAATTTTTAGTAGTTATGCTTGAACCTGCTTTGTATCTTTGATCATGGTTCTCTTGTGAGTCAGAAGTTATGAGTTCTGTGCTCAAACTGTTGTGCAGTCTAGAAATCACTGACTCTTAATAGTTTACCTTTCACATGTGAAGTTATGAGTTTGGTGTTGGAGTAGTCAACAGTCACCAACTTATTTATCACAGGTCCAGATAGTAGGAGGATAAAAAGTCTTTTCATGAATAACCATGCTTGGTTTTTGTTTGTTTTTTTTTTTTGGCTGTGCTAGGGAGTTTGACAGGACCTTGTACTTGTGAGGTTGGCAAGATAACTCTGAGCCATGCCTCTAGCCCTGTTTTTTACTAGCTCCTGTTTTTAGCACAGGGTTCACTTCTGACCTGGCTCCTGCCTGAGCCACCATCTGCCTACTTTTAGGCTTTCATAGGTGCATGCTACCATGTCTGTGGAGACAGAGTCTCACATACATATCTGGCTAGACTGACCTGGCATTAGGATATCAGGCCAATTTCAGCCTCCCATGTAGATTGGGATAGATATGCGCAGCTATAGGTTAAGGAGTCTTGTTAACTTTTCTGCCTAGGTTAGCCTTGAATTAGATCCTCTCAATCTCTATATCTCAACTACCAATAATGATAATTTTAAGAATTTATCAATTTATTTTATGTAAAAATCTTTACAGATTTATTATATTCAGTGTTTTACACTCAAAAGAAATAAAATGGCATGCATTGCAATTTATCTACCTAGCATTTATTCCCCTTACAATGGATGTATTTCTGAAAGGGACAGTAAATTCCAGTTTCTTACAAATCCTCAGATCTTTTTCATGCTATAGAAGCATCTGTTAGGGGGCACATGTGTTAGTGGTGGGTACCATTTCCTGCCCCCTGGCAATACTGTATATTCTGTTGCATCCTACTTTTGGGAGGGAGGAAGGGTGAGACTGAAAATTTTATAAGCACTTATGAGAAAATGAGTTTTATTAAAAATAAGTTCTGTCTTGGTAAATTTGTGGGTTTTGTCTCTCTTTTTTTAAAGATTTCCTTTTGTAGCTGTTTCGATTGGCTTTGTTGTAAATAAAAAGGTATGTTGTAAATGTATGGTTCATAAAATGTCTTGGTTGTTTTCTGACAAAGATGAAACAAGTTTCCCTAATAATTTCAGATGTCTCTGTAGTTACATGACTGCATTATTTTAAATAGAAGACAATAAATACTGTTATAATTTTCATGATGTATTTCCAGTGAAGGAAATTTCATGTTTTCTTAGAAGCAAGAGTTGCAAGAAAAATAATTAATCACCAGTAAAAAGGAAAACTCATTCTCTACTATATGTAGAGTTAACCATGACAGGGGTTGATCTGACCTAAAATGCTTCAAGGAGAGCTAGATATGGTGGTGCATACCCATAATCCCAGCTTTTTGGGATGCAGAGAGAGGTCAACTCAAGCAAAAATTAGTAAGACTGTCTCAAAAACCATCTGTGTGTGATGGTACATCCTATTATTCATAATCGAGCCAACCCAAAGTAGGTTAAAAGATTGTAGTTTGAGGCCAGCCCAGAAGAAGTTTGCATGAGACCAGGTCTGGAAAAATAACTAATAAAAGGCCTGGGGTATAAAACACTTGCCTAGCAAGCATTTATTAATAATAAAAGTTAACATGGAAAAGATGGGATTTGAGCTTTAGTAAGTTGTCAGTGAAGAGAGACAGTCAAAGATATAAAAGTGTCAGAGAGAACATAGCTGGAAAGTACAGAATTTATTTGGAACCTAAACATAATCAAATTTTTATATCTAAAGCTCAGAAACCTCAAATCCATAGCTGTTATATTACCTTGCTTTGGTTATTTGGCTGGCCAAGTAGTGTAGGATGTTCACTAGCACCTGGGCATCTTTTTTTTTTTTTTTTTTCCCCTCATACTGGAGATTGAAGTCAGGGTCTTACACTTGCTAACCAAGTTGATTACTAACATCTACATACTTGTCTTCAAGAATTTGTGAAATACCTGATCAGCTAGTTTATATTTTTGAAAATATAAACACAAAATTAAGGGGGTTTCACTCAGTAGTAGAGTTCAATCTCCAAGAAAACAAGTGAATCACAATTAGTACAAATGAAAGCTTACTGATTAAGTTATATTAATCAGTGAGACTATCCAAACTGAGCTAATGAACATTTAGCATATAACTAGCTCTAGGCTGTATGCTACCATCGACATTGAACTCATAATTACATATGTGAGCATGTAAAGAAATGTAATGGGTGGGTTGAGGGTGTCTCTCAAGTGGTAGAGCAATTGTATAGCAAGCTCAAAGCACTGAATTCAAACCCAATACTAGAAAAAAAAAAATTAGCAAGCTCAAGACACTGAGTTCAAAGCCCAGTATCCTGCAAAAAGAAAAGAAAATGTAGTGGAACCATTACAAATGTGAAAGACAGAAGAGAATATAAACAATTCTCTTAATAGAAGAGGTCTTAGGAGTTGGATAAAGCACAAACAGTGGGAGGCATAGCACAAGTGGTAGAGTTCCTGCTAAGTAAGCCATGTCGCACTGGGTTTCAAGCCCAGTACCAGTAAAAAATAAAAATAAAACCTTGAAGAAGTACTTTTTAGCTTTTTGAGGTTTTTACAACCTTAGTTCTAAAGCACTAGTTCTTTTTCTGTTTTTTGGGCTGGTCCTGGAGTTTGAACTTTTATTTGGAGAGGAGGAGGGGAGAAAAGAGTCTCCCTGGCTTTTCTGCCTGGTCTTTGAACCATGATCTTTAGATTTCTGCCTCCTGAGTAGCTAGAATTACATGTATGAGCCACTAGTGCCCAATGATCAAAGTGCTGTTTTTTTACCTGTGATGGTGAGATTGATGGGAGCCAAAATTACTTAACAGTAGTTAAGGACCAACCTGTAAGAGTTTTGGAGCACAAAAAGAAATGAAAACAATGGTGGAAGGAGGAAAAAGATCCTAAGGTACTCAACTATGAAGAGCTAGACAAGGAAATGAGATGGATTCTTAAGTGAGGCACAACTGAGCAAGTCTGTCAGAAACATGGAAGTATCAAATTAAGTACTATGTAAGTATTGATGGTGGCCAGTGGTTTCCTTCTAAATCATTGTCACTAAGAGATCATTATTCATTGATACTCTGCCTGGGAGTTACAGCAGAAGGTGAGTGATCAGGGAAGAACCCAAATTGTAACATACTCATAGGAGAGGAGGTGATGCCAAGTTAGGCTACTCCTTGACAGAAGGGAAAGAAATGTGTCATTGTGCTACTTCAGCAGAATACCTAAGATTGGGTAATTTATAATGAATAGAAATGTTTGGCTTTAAGGCGGCTGTAGGTTCCTTGTGTTGTGAAGCTGATCTCCAAGTGGAACTTTGCAAGCTGTGTCTTCCAGAGGGAAAGAAAGTTGAATCTTTACATGACAAAAATTCTGTTTTGTTGTTGTTGTTTTTAGGCAGTAAACCCATCCTTTGAGGGTGGAGAGTCCTCATAGCCCAATTAATTAACCTTTTAAAGGCCTCATTTCCCAATACTATTACTGTGGCAGTTAAATTTCAATAAGAATTTTAGAAGGGTCAGTCATTCAAACCATACCAGTAGGGAAGAGGGGGACATTGGTGGAAAGGTACCAGAAGAGAAGTCTTAAGAGAAGATGGATGCAGCAGTAGGACTTACAACAAAGGAGAACATGGTTATCTTAGAAAACATGAGTGTGCTATCTCTCTAAGAGAGGCAAGATTGGGTACTGTCAGGTTAGATGTGTGGGAGGAGAGTGAAGGATATCAGGTGAAATGTTCTCTGTTAAGGCTGGAGGTTCACATTTTGAGTCATAGCTCTCTAAATATTATTAGTATTATTAGTAATATAGTATTAGTACACAATTTTCTTACTTTGTCTGAAAAGTATTGTTTAATGAAGAAAAGTACTCAGGTTGGCTATAAGAAGCTTGTTTTCCCTCTGCAGATGGAATTTGGTGTTGTATACAGTTGTGTGGAAGATAAGATGTATACTGGCAGGAAAGGCAAAGGTGCCTTTTGTAATGGCCAAAAACTACAGGTTTCGCAGCAAGAAGGTAGGTTTGTCCGTTAGTCGTTGGTGCAGTATGGTTTTTTAGTATTAATCTGTGGAGTCATAAATTGTGTTCATTTGCTTTTTACATTTATATGTTGGCCTTAGTTTGGAACGTAGTATTGGAAGCAGGGAAATAGAACTGAGCAGACACTTCAGGCCCAGTGCTGTACTAAGTAATGGAGAGAGGAAGCTATAGATACATAGCTATATTCCTACCCTCATGGAATATCTCATTTAGTGTTATAGCCACTGAACTCCAGATTCTTCTTCGTGTTCTGATTTTATGTCACCACACTAATTATTAAGAAATGCATTAAAGATAAAGCATATTAAAAGTATCCCTTGCTGATAAAACAATCTACATTTGCTGAACTAAATACCTTAGAGAAGTTGTTGCTGTATTTGCATGGAACCTACCTATATACTCCTATACAGGATGATTTATTAAATCATCTATGCACTCAATGGAAATGTTATGTAAATAGTTGTTATACTTTATTGCTTAGAGTATAATAACAAGGAGGAAAAGGTCTGCAGATGTTCAATAAGGTGCAATTTTGGGGCATAGTGTTTTCAAGCTGAGATGGGTTGAGGCTAAGGACCCTGTACATAGAGAACCCAGATGTGCTTGTGTGTGTGTGTGTGAGAGAGAGAGAGAGACAGACAGACAGACAGAGAGAGACAGAGACAGAGAGAGAGAGAGACCTAGATGGCTGATATTTTATTTCCTTGTGATGAAGTTTTGATTGAAGTTCTTATTGAAGTTTTGAGTCACCTTTCATAAACCACATCCAACACTTTTGATTTTGTACTTTCAGATTATTTTTATGTAGCAGGAACTTGCTAACTGTCTGAATTTGGAGTCCTAGATATACTTTTTCCTTAACTAAAGACTTGAGAGCAAATTTTTAATTTATCTCCTTTTTTTATTGAACTCTTAAGACTCCAAACTGATATCTTTAAGATTCCAAAGACTGGATAATATAACTTCGAGATACTGACATAAAAAATGTGCATCTTAAAGCTGGAGAAATGTGGTCGCTTTTCATAGAGACAATTCTCTGCCTTTGCATGATCATTTTTTCATGTTTCATAGTGTAGGTAGCAATTAAAAGTAGCACAACTGTTAAAAAGATGCTGGGGACAAGCAGCTGGTCAGTGTGTTTCTCAGCTGATCGGTACTGTTGAAGGTGTCAGGAACTTCACTCCTGGTATTGGAGAGAGAATGGAAAGTATTGGACAGTCTGTCAGCTTAGTAGATAGAGGACAGGACAAACAGAGACCTACCACTTTAACTTGTTTTATTCCAAACCTGCATAAACTCCTGAATTAATTTAATTTGTTACTTTTTTTAGTTTGTTGTTGGTTTTTGATTTGTATGCGTATGTATTTTTGGTGTGTGTGTGTATGCATGTGCGTGTGTGCGTGCGTACTGGTCCTGGGACCTGAACTCAGGGCCCTGGGTACTGTCTCTGAGCTTTTTTTGTTCAAGGCTAGTACTGTACCACTTGAACCACAGTTGCACTTCCATTTCTTCTACATTTGAAGTACTTGATATGCATCCAGACAGCCTGATTTGTTGTACACCTTTTGGGTAATATTCTGAGAAGCTGGACTTTTTAATACTTATAAAAATAATCACTTCAAGACCATGCTTAGCAATTAAAATAATAATCACTTGAAGGCCAAGTGTGGTGGTGCACCTGTGTAATCGCAGCACTTGGAAGCTTGAGATAAGATCACAGGTTTGGGACCAGACTATATGACACATTGAATTCAAGGCCAGCCTTGAAGCTGTGTCTCAAATAAATAAAAATTTTACTTGAGCATTATAAGTTCATTACTTTTCGTTTGTTTTTGAGACAGAATTTTACTATGTGGCCCCGGCTGAACTCACAACCTCCTAGACTGCTGGCTAGTTTGTCAGTTTTTAACGTTTAAGGCTTAGAAACAAATTTGATAAACTAGAAAAAGGGGTTATTTTGTTCTGAATTACATCATTTCCCACCACAATTCTTAATAAAAGTTATTGATTATTTAAAACATTTTCTCTTCAGATATAACCAAATCACTATTGGTGACAGAATTAGGTTCTTCCAGAACACCAGAGACTGTAAGAATTGTTCTCTCTAACATGGAAAAGCTTTTCTCCATTCCCATTCATGGGTAAGTTTTTTCATTTCCTACCTAAAGTTCCAGGTAATTCACATTATAAAGGAATATGTTTTGTTTTTCTTTTGAATGAGATTTTTATTAACAGACTGTAATTCTAATTTTGTAATACACTTGTGAAAACCTTCTTTTTTGGTAGTAGAGTTTGAACTCAGACTTTGTACTTGCTAGGCAGTGTTTTACCATTTGAGACATGCCTCCCGTCCTTGAAAACTGTATAGAAATAAAACTCAAACTGAAGATAAGCAGAAGTTAAGGCGGAATACTTTATTTACTCTCATGCTAGAATCCGGAGTGTTGGAACAGCAGCTGTTAACATGTGCCTGGTGGCAACTGGAGGGGCTGATGCATATTATGAAATGGGAATTCACTGCTGGGACATGGCAGGAGCTGGCATTATTGTCACTGAAGCTGGAGGAGTCCTTATGGATGTAACCGGTAAAGTCACTGGGGAGTAAAGCATTGCTTTCTCCCTATCTGTGAGACTTGTCTCTCTGTGTTGTGTTGGTTTGTTTTTTTTTTTTTGGTTTGTTTTTTTAATTGACATAGCTTCAACTTCTAAAGCAAAAGCAAGGTTTAAAAGTTTCTCTGAATCAGAATAAGCATTAGGAGATAGGGAAGAATAAGAGCTACTGGTAAAATTCAGGACTAACAATGAAAAACTGCTAAGCTTTCTCACATGTATCTGGGACTCCTGAGAGGTTACAGGGAAGATCTGTCATGAATAGGAAATGTCTGGTCCACACCATTTAAGGCCCAGCCCCTGAAATCATTTGGCTCATGATAGGAGACAGAGCTTATAACCAGAGCACACAAAAGAAAAAACAAAAAGGAAAATGATGTCTCTCACCTGGTGTGTCTTGTGAGCACCACTTCGGTATTTACTGAAAAAAGCAGCTTAGCACCTGGTGTGTCTTGTGAGCACCACTTCGGTATTTACTGAAAAAAGCAGCTTAGCACCTCAGATGTATACTGCTAAAGCTCAAACACTGGGATTATGTGACAGGGGTTTTCTGACTTTTGAAGAAAACCAAATGTAGTTAAATGTTTGACCATAAATGACCATAAAACATATTGCTATGATTGTTTTTCTTTTCAAAACTATGTTTATACAGTATATAACTGCTTTGCATATTTGATTTGATTTTAGGTGGACCATTTGATTTGATGTCACGAAGAATAATTGCTGCAAATAGCAAAGTGTTAGCTGAAAGGATAGCCAAAGAGATTCAGGTTGTACCTTTACAAAGAGATGATGAAGATTAATAGCATGGCTTCAGAGTCAACTACAGTTATGGTTCCTGTGTTCAGACTCGTTGATATCAGTCCTAGGTGGATGACACAGGACTGGGATATAGTTCAGAGCTGGAACACTTGCCTAGCATGCACAAGGCCCTGGGTTCCAACCCTGAGATCACAAAAAAAAGAAAAAGAAAAAAACAGATATATGATATGATTGATTTAGATTGTCTTTGATGTCCTAATTTAAAACAAATCTTTTTCTATGGACTGTGTTAGAATAAGTATTTGTTTATTGTAAAAAGTTTTTGCTTCTAAGTGTATGCTTGGGGGGAAAATATACAGGAAATGTGTATTTCTTTGTTATACATTGAAATAGTCAAATTCACATTTTGTGTTTCTAAGTATATATGATTCTCTGAACTTTTGTGTTACTATTTATATACAAAAGCACTCAATTAGAACGTTATCTTTTTTGGGGAAATTTTTTTTTCTAAAAGCCATATTTTAATTAAGTTTGTAAGTATATAATAAATATTTCTTAGATTAATAAAACTTTTGCTTTTTAGCAGAAAACTTTGTTTTACTCATCACTGTACATATAGCACAGTATCTGTCAAATAGCCTATCCAAAATAATCACTTAAGAATCAAAATTTTAGCTGGAGTCGGTGCCTCACATCTATAATCATAGCTACTCAGGACGCTGAGATCTGAGGGTGGCATTTCAGAGCTAGCCTGGGCAGAAAAAGTTGGCTAGACTCTCATCTCCAGTTAACCAAATGGTAGAGTACCAGCCATGAGCCAAAAAGCAAAGGCCCTGAGTTGAAGATTTTCAAGTTGCAGTTCCTAGTTCTAATTAATACATAAAGTAATGAGCTTACTCTTAATGTATTTTTGCTTCAAGTTTTGAAAAATTATCTCATTATCCTTTTTTGTTTCTTATTAACATAGCATGTCATATATCAGAGAGTGTTGCTTATCATTGACATTTCTGCAGTTAGGATGTTTCCAGAGGATGTGTTTCGGTGTAAAATTCCCTTATTAAAGAAGAGGAATTTCACCAAGTATTCTTATCAATTACTTAGCTAGAAGCAGTATAACATTGTACTAAATTCAGTGGTCACATTGTAAAAATGTCACACAGATTTGTTGTGCTATCAAATATATTGTTGCTAATATTGAGCTATTTGATTTCTTCCCATACTCCTTATTTAACTTCATTGCTGCTGCCTTTTTAAATTGTTTAATAGCCTTGGTGTATTAAGCCCCAAAAGAAAATTATAATAGTTCAGAGACATTTTAAAGGATTAATTTTGGTAATGTTTGTCCTTTGATATATGAGCAGATAAATTTGGATATAGGCATGTAAGAGCCTATTGGATAAAGCCTTGTATTTGAAAAGTGCTCATATAGTCCTCAAAGGGCTATTTTATTGTATATGTAATACATTAAATATAAGATACTGAGATTTGGGTATTACAGTTACTGAATTTGTACTGTTAATTACATACACTTGAAACATACTGTAATTCTGACACTAAGTCTGGTGGATTTTTCCAATTTTAATTAAGTCTGTCATAAATAAATTTTTTTAAAAAAGCATTATTGAATATTTACATTATTAGAACTAATGGTCTAAAATGTGTTAGTCATTTGTGATGCATTTAAAATATTAATACTTACATTTGTGATAGAAAGTATACTCCACTGTTTTCATGTTGTTTTCCTAGTTTAACACTTTATTTTTTTTATATCTTTTTATTTATATCTTTTTATTGTAAGTACAATTTGGATGTTTTGTGAAATTTCTTTAGATATTGAAAAAGATTACTTGACAAATGAACTGTCCAACAATAATTTGAAATGCTTGTTCTGAGTAAGATAGACTTAGCCTTTCTTTTTATATCTTTATCTTCAAAGCCATCTAATAACTTATTCACTGATATTTATTTCATTGATATTCCAGTGTATATTTTGTTATACTTTATTTGGCAGTGCTGGGACTTGAACTCATAGTCTTGATCTTGTTAAACAGGGCAGTCTACCACTTACTTGAGCCACACCCCCAGTCCCCAGTCTCTAATTTTATCTTGTTGCTTGTATTTTCCCTTTCAGTCTCCTCAATTTCCTGAATTATTGTTTGTTTTCCATAGTCTCTTTCACTTTTGACCGTCCTCAGCTATCTGATGATTCTGTGTTTGAAAATATACTAAAATTCCTATGATGTAGGTTATGGGTTTGCTTATAAGGATATCATTAACCTTAAATAAAGGCCAGGGAAACAAAGTAGAAGGGTTGATTGGCACAACTAACACTTAACTCAGGGCTGGGAATGTGGCTTAGTGGTAAAGTGCTTGCCTTGCATTCATGAAGCCCTGGGTTCGATTCATCAGTACCACATAAATACAAAAAGCTGGAAGTGGCATTGTGACTTAAGTGATACAGTGCTAGCCTTGAGCAAAAGAAGCTCAGGGACAGTGCCCAGGCCCTGAGTTCAAGCCCCAGGACTGGCATAAAGTAAAATAAAGGAAAACTAACCCAAAGTCTACTAAAGAATCTAGTCTATAAAAGAATTAGTAATATGACTAGAGATAAGGTTAATGCAGCTATGTTTAACTAAGCAGTAGCACATCAGATAGCATTTAGTGCAGATGCTATTTACAGTATATAAAAAACATACTGAGGGACCTATTTTAATGAAAGATGTTGGGCACCAAAAAAAAACCCTGTAAGACATTCCTGAAAAAAGTTTAAAAGGTCTTAATGTAACATATTTGTGCTTGGCAATAGTCAATATTGCTCACGTGTCAGTTTTTACTAAATTGACCTATAGATTTAATATATTCCCAGCCAGAATTTCAATACTGGTTGAGGGAAGTGTGTTTGTTTTTCTAACAAAATACCTAAGATAATTTATAAAAGGATAAGGCTCATTTTGGTGTGCAATTTTAGAGGCTCTCATCCATGGTTGGGTGGCACTGCTACTCTGGGCTTGTGACAGAGCAGCAAGAGTGGAAAGAATGTAGTAGAGCATTAAGGCAACTTCCACGACCCCCTTCAAGGCATAACCTCCTCCCACCATGCCACACCTATAACGGCTTCCACCACCTCCTCAGTTGTGAACCAGTGGACCTGTGTGCCTGTTGGCCTTCCCTCCCTCCTTTTTCCTTACCCCTCCCATCATACTCCCTCAAGTTGTGGTTGTTTCATTTTTTTATATGTTTTTTATTGTAAAAATACTGTACAGAGGGGTTACAGTTACATGAGTAATGAGTACATTTCCTATCCAGCATTGTTACCTCCTCCTTTGTTTTTCCTCTGCCATCCCTTCATTTTTGTTTTCCTAAGACAGATTTTCAGTCTAACCCAGGCTGGTCTCCAACTTGCAATCCAGGTACCGAGATCGCTGCTGTGTGTCGCCACCACTGGCTGGGACCACATGGGCCTTTGAGGAGCACTCAGTTTCCACACTACAGCAGGAGGTTAGCTGAGAGGGTTGATAACAAATATGGAACTATAGAGTCAAAAACAGCTGAAACCACCTGAAAGTAGAAGACAAATTTAGAAGACTTCCACCTGAAGTCCATCATTAAAGCCGTGATACTGATACAGGGCTAGACAACCTTCCTTTAGGAAAGAGGCCACCATTATACTGCAGTAAGTAAGCAGTTGGTCTTTTCAGAAAATGGATGTCCAAATTAAAGAGGAACGATACTGATTGCACCATGTGGTGTACAAAAGGCAGCGCAGCGTGTTCCTAGCAGCAGTCTAAATGTAAAACAGATCAAAAGTCTGTCAGCAGCAAAATAATACAAAACTAAGGAATGGCCTTACAGTGCTTATACAGCATTGAAAAAAAAAAGCACTGAAAAATATGGAAAATTCCATCCACACAAATGTGGATGATTTCTAGTTGGGCACATCCTATTTTTCTAATGTTTCTATACTTGTTTTTGGAGTCATCTGTGATATCCTAATTCACACAAGTGAAGTATTGTCTGACTATCTTGTTCAACCTGCGGCTCATTCTCATTTTCTATTCTTTGATTTCAAAATCATACTTTGGAATTTTCACTTGTCAGTTTCTTTTATTCACTGACTTTGGTACAGACATGGTCCCTAGAGTGGGGTGCTTAGCTGGAGATTAGAGGCTCAAGGACTTTCCTGCCCCAGCTCACTTCAAAGCGCTATCCTCAGATCTCAGCCTTCTGAGTAGGGAGGATTACAGGCATGAGCCTCTGGTGCCCAGCACATCCTTCTTAATGCCTTTAGTTTTTATAACCGCCCTTTTAAAATCTTACCCTGACTTTCCACCTCTTTCCTGGATGCTCCATTCTGAAAGTCCTTGAGTCAGCTTGGCGTGTCTCAAGCAAAATTTAATTTTCTACTCTTACACATTCTCTTCCTCTTTTCAAATTAGAACATGTCATTTGATATTTGCCTTTTCCTAGTCTGCCAGGAATGTTTCATAGCCAGGTTCTTTTTTTTTTTAAATATAAAATCCACTGAACTTTCCTACTGAACACTCCAACTGGACTTACAGGCCAGCTCTTCAACAGACTCCTCTGAGCTTCATGGGATGTTGTCTGCCCAGAATAGTATATAGTGACAATAGATCTTTTCCTCCCAATAATTGTAAAGATATTTATAAGCCATAACCAGCCTAGCACACGGATACATCTACTGTCACCACGCTTGCCTCAATTGATTCACAGGTGACGTTAAACCCAAGCAAGATAAGTGAAATGTCTCCTGAAAAACTGGGAATTAGGTATCCATAACAGACATTTGGAATAATGGAAAAATAACCAGGCCTTAAAGTGCTTTATATCAGCACTGGATAAGAAAATGTAGGTTGGGAGTTTGGCTTGTGTCAAGCCCTAAATTCAATTTCTAATATATCCCCATTATCCCCCACCCTACCCCCCCTCAAAAAAATAGGAAAAAAAAGGAGAAAGCCACATAGCCAGGTGTGGTGAATTTGGGCAGTAGAGATCAGCCTGTGCTGCTGCAGTGTAGAGGGGAAGAGGCTAAGAGTTAACACATTCTTTTTTTCTTTGCTTTTGACAGTACAAGGGCATGAACTCAGAGCCTCGGACTTGCTAGGCAGGCACTACCACTTCATATAGGGCCCCAGGCCCTATATATTCTAATTTCTAATATTTAAATGTTCATATCCCTTAA